TGTGTGTGTGTACATATATATACAAGCACTCCGGGGGATTTTCGCCCACAGTGTCTCAAGCATGCAAATTTATATATATCGCATATCTGCTTACGAATATATCGGTTGTAAAATTAATTTAAAACCAACCTGATGTTAGAGTTCGGCACAGATTCCTCATTGTGTTGCAATGCCGTCGGAATATTCAAATCCGCCAACACATCCACATTTGAAGACATATTTGCAAATAAGATCTCCAGATCCGACGTATCACTCCGGTCATCATCTCCATGGGTACCAATACTCCTCTCGCCCCCGTCGTCATAGCTACCATGGTAACCCCTGGTGTGTATCGATACGGCGTCACTAAATACTACGTCGTCGTCACTGTCTTCGGCGCCACTCGACGGTTCCCCTGCATTCCCGCCATAGGTATCGGTGATATTGGTATCGTTATCAGAACTACTCCACCCACCCTGTACTATGCGATCCTCGTCGTTGTCTTCTGATCCGCTGCTGCTCAAGCCCATACTTATTTCACTAAAACCAGTATTTGAATGGCTGCGATTTGGAGTTGTGCTATAGCTGGATTTCAATTCGGCTCTACAAAAGCTCCTAGTTGCACCGCCTTCCTCTGGACCGGTGCGACCAAGTGATTGGCTGATAGTTAAATCTATTTCCGTACTCATCGCCGCATCATATTTACTCAGGTTACCGGTTGCTTGTTGGTGTGTTGTTTTGTCATCGGTCGCACTCGCTTTGTGTACTTCGCCTTCATCCCCGTCAGTGCTGGAGTCACTGCTTGTCTCTTCACTATCGGCCGTGTCTACCAATAGCATTCTAAAAATTGATTTATCTTTCACTAAATTTGATTGGCTCTCGCCCTCCGTCGCGCCGACAGTAGTTTTCTCTATTCTTCCCCTCTCATCGTAGACCATATGCTCAACTCCACTTAGACGCACTTCCTTGTCCGTACCAACGACTTCTTCATCGGAGTGATCCAATTGGATTTCACCTATATCGGAGCTTTTTGATTGATCACCACTCTCGTTTTCACTCTCACTCTCACTCTCACTCTCGCTGCTCGTAGTGCTGTCGCTCGAATCGCTCGCATTACTGCTACTACTACTACTGCTACTGATGCTTCTAGTCGACTGGGTGAGCCTATCACATGCCCCGTTTGACTGTAGATCGTCCGTGGTATGTGTGTGTGTATTTGCCCCTTTCAATGTGAGCGGGTATGTCTCATTCTCTGTGTGTATGTGCGTGCGTGTGCTACCCGCTGTGTTCGTTGTGTGGTCTGTCTGAAAAAGATTATAACCGATTACACTGTGGAACGGTAGGTTAGTAGACGTTTCGTCATTGGAGCCTTGGCTGTCGCTATCTGTACTACACTGAGACATATAATCCGAGGACATTGAGCCCGCCTTTTTCGACGTCTGGATTAGTGTTGGGGCATTTCGCGATACCTGAATGTTATATTGGTGTCCAGAACATAATTTGTGTATTAAGTATATCGGAATCTGTTAACATGTATTTGCGACATGGTACATACATACATAATGAAGATATACCCAAACAATGGCTTACTTTTTCTGGCAAGTGTTCAACTGATGGCAAGGCGACCACCTTCGCCTGTGACATCCACATGTCAATCTCGGCGTCAGACTGTCTATGGGCTGTGGAATGAAGTTGTGTTCAAGCCGTAGTTTAAGCGAATTGGAAGGCAGCAAATCATCAGGCAGCGATGGAAGAAATGTGGCGAGTGTTTACACAGCGGATAAAAATTTGGTCTCAATACACCCTCTCTTTCCATGTGATAAATATTAAAAAAAAAGCACAGATTAGCATTTTATAAAAGGACTTTCTGTTCCGAATTCAAAATTTGATAACAATGCAGAATTTCTAGTCAGACAAAATGCTTGATGGATAGTGAGCTCTCGGGGAAAATATCAAAACACACACTGTTATGACATGTCCGAAATGTATTTCGCGACAACAATATTACCGTTCAGAATGTCATGCAAGAGATAAACGTGTATGCATAGTGAATACCATGGATGTATGTGAAGGTATTAGCGATTGAATATTTATACACAAATATCAATACAATATCTATATATCTATATATAACATTTACATATATATTATATTTATATAA